ACTGAAAGCTTGGTTTTCAAGCAGTACTGTAAAATGATTGATTTGGTTTTGGTAATGCCCATTAATGTTGGCACACAGGAAATGTGAGTGCATTTACAAGTGAGGGGTAATGCAGTGATTTTGTGAGGTTCATACAGAGCATTTACAAGTGTAAAGTGCATTTACAAGTGTCTTTACAGGGGTCTGTCTTTGGTGGGTCACAGCAGTGGCATACTGGCCGGGCAGGACTCCCGTGCCCATCCTAGCATGACGCAAATGTGCAGAAGGTGAACAGGATTCTTGCTTTCAGAGTATTTCACCAACTCCTTAGATCCAGTTTGACTTTCAAATACACATTTCCTTTTCTCTGGCCAAAGGTCTTAATTTGAGGCTTAGGAAAAAAAATCCATTTCAGTAGTAAGTTTTCTTTTCTGGGGAGACATTTCAGTAGCTTCTTAAGGGAATCTGGCTTATTTTTGATTTTGCATGTTTATAAGAAATTAAAGTAAACTGCCTTTCCAACCTCAGGTAATAAAACCTGAGTTTCCATATCTGCATTATGCCAATGCATTGTCTTTTCTTTTCTTTCTTTATATTTTTTTATTAATTTTATTTAATTTTGTCTCTTCTTTCTTCTTCTTTCTTTCTTTCTTTCTTTTCTTCTTTCTTTCTTCTTCTCTTTCTTCTCTTCTTTCTTGTTTCTTCTTCTTCTCTTCTTCTTCTTTCTTTTCTTTTCTATCTTTGATAAGCAAAGGACTGAGGATTTTGTTTTTTTTGAGACGGAAGGTCTCACGTTTGCCGGCTGGAGTGCCGTGGCATCAAGCCTAGTCACAGCAACCTCAAACTCCTAGCTCAGGATCCTTCCTGCCACAGCCACCGAAGTAGCTGGGATACAGGCATGGCCACCATGCCCAGCTAATTTGTTTAAATATATTTTTGGTTGACAATAATTTCTTCTGATTTTTGTAGGATGGAAGGGTCTCACTCTTGCTCAGGCGGTTTCGAACTGCTGAGCTGAGCGTATTTCCCTGCTCGGCTCCTAGTCCTAGGATTACAGGCGTGAGCCACCGCACCCGGCCAAAAATAGGCTTCTTATTCCTGTTGGGATTGATTTGGGAACTTTCTCGAATTGGTACAGGAATCAAGGGAAATCTTAACTAAGTACAGTTGTATTAAACATGAAGAGAAATACATATCTGAGAAATAAATCAAAACTGTGTAAGTTCTAGAAGAAACATGACTGAGATGTCAAAGATTATAAGTTGTAAAAACGTAGTCAACCCCCTTTAGTAACTTGATGTGTGACTTAAAAAATACAAGTCTTAGAAGCTTTTAGAGTTCTTGCTTGCTCAATGTTTTTAATCGACACTCACTTAGCATTTTGAAATCAAATCTTTGAGGTAGGAGGAGATTTTTGTTTAAAAACAATTGAAATTGCACTGCAATGAATGAGGGAGGTGATAGGCATGTGAACTATAATGCTTGGGAAGAATTGAGAAGAGAGATGATATTTTAAGAAGATCTTCGAGAATGTTGTCAGGAGGGATAGCAGGAGAAGAGAGTAGATAAAAGGTGGATGGGAACTGGGATAGTCTATTACATGTGAGAGCAAGGGTGGTCTCGTATTCATTTCAGTTAGCCTCTAATTTGAAAAATGTTGATGTCCCATCCAAAACTACATCAGCAGGTTAGTCTGATCTTGAGTAATGTTAGGGGTTTAGATGAGATTAATTCCCAATTGAGGAATTCCTCTAACACATCCAGGATCCTAGATAGCTCTCAGATCCAATTATAGTAGACCCAGAATTGATTCTTTGAAGCCACTGGCCACATTTCACTGAATTTTTAAATCCTTCGATTTGTTTTCTGATCAGCATAGTCTCTAAGTTGGGGGTAAATGGGAATCTCACCCTATTTATCAACTACTGTTGAACTATAAAGTAAGGTCATGCTTATATTTTATTTTATATTTGAGAAAACCACAAAGACTACCAGTCTTAATGACTAAACTTATTGGTTTGCATTAATTGCCTATGATTTGTAGAAGAACTTTGGAACTCCTCTATCTGTCCTCATGCATTAATTCATCGATTTACTTATTCATATTTACTGTGAAATATTTGCAAATACGCCAGAATAGCATCAATTCTTTAAGTGTTTTGATACCTATTAAGATTGAAAAAAAAATAAAAGAAAAATCAAACTAACTTGGGTCATTAAAGACACATTGATCCTTGCATGTATTTGACACAAATTTATCCTTTGTTGTTCACCAATATTTAAGTACTTTAGAAGAGCACAGTACCTAATACTGAGGAAATAGGGAGAAAAAGTGGAAAACATGAATTTTATCTACAGGGAATTTGAAGTGAAATAGTAGACTCATAGTAAGCCCAAATAATCACAAATGAAAGAGATAAATCTATATTAAATAAACTATGAATGTACTAAGATAATGTTAGTTTTCAGCTATTTTTGTGCCACTCATAGCATGACAATTATTTTAGGAGGGAATAACACTTCTCTCATAGTTATGGCAGCCCACCTGGAAATAATGAAATGATGGTCCACATCTGCCACTTCATAGGAAATGATTAAGGACAAAAAGAATCCTTACAAGTCCAGGAGCAGCAATATTCCCCAATAGAACTCAAGAATAAAGTTGGCCAATTAATACTAAATATTGAAATAAAATTAATAAAACATTTATTTTCCTTTCAAGCTTCATTAATGAAAGAGTATGACCTATTTTTAAAAAAAATTTCCAGGAAGCCATTTTTGCTACGAATTATTCTCTTTCTGACAATAGCCATATTCTCTTCTGCACCTTAATTGAAAGTACTGATGAACTAGATACCATTGAATAGTAGTTTTCTTTTTTTGGCCAAGATTTAAGTAGTCAAAATTGATGGTGCTTGACGCTTGTGATGGTTAATTTTATGTGTCACCTTGACTGGGCCATGCGATGTTCAGATATCTGGTTAAAGATTATTTCTGAGTGTGTAAGAATGTTTCCAGAAGAGATTAGCATTTGAGTTGGTCAACTGAGCAAAGCAGATGGCCCTCCCCAATGTGAGTGGGCACCACACAATGTATCTGGGGACTGAATAGAACAAAAATGTGGAAGAAGGTTGAATTCCCTCTTCCCCTAACTGCCTAAACTGGAACGTTGACCTTCTGTTCTCAGTACTCCTGGATCTCAGGCCTTTGAACTCCCACACTAGCTTTCTTGGGTCTCAAGCTTGCACATGGCAGATTGTGACACTTTCCATTTTCTGTAATCATGGGAGCCAATTACTCATAACAAATCTCGTTTTCTATCTGTCATCATTCTTTCTCTCATATCTCTGTTTCCTTCTCCTACTGATTCTGTTTCTCTGCAGAACCCTGACTAATACCGAACACTAATACTAATACAACCCCTAATACCGAAACACTCCCAAGTGTCATTGCTAAAATGTCCTTCGAGCAAGAACTCAGAAGGCAGAACTTGGAATGCAATATACACATCAATTATGTCATAACAGCCACTCGGATTAAATTTTATATCACTCTCCTGAATAGCTATTACAGTCAACAGGTGATGTGGTTCAGTTCTTAAACAGGTCTAGACTATAGAACCAACTGCCTTCTGACGGTGATGGCTGTTTATGGTAGTTACTCATTCATTGATATTTGATATGCGACTCACTACTGTTAGGCAGCAGGTGTTGGTTCCATAATCTCTGCACAAGAGTCAATATTCTTATTTTGTTTTATCACAACCAGTAGGCTCTATGGCTAGGTAAAACTTTATAATGCTCCTGACACTGATTGGAAAGTATCAGAGCATTTCTGAACATCATTTTTCATCAAGAATAGCTAACATCTCTTGAGCACATACTATGTGCCCTAGTGCCAGATGTTTTATAAGTAGTCTCTAATTTAATCCTTATAGCAATCCCATCAATATCATTGCTATCTCTGTTTTATAGAAGAAAAACTGAGGATAATCATACAAGTATTAACTATAATAGTTTATTGGCAATTTAAACCCAAGTTTGACTTTAGAGTATCAATTCTCTTAACCACTTGCTAACATCAGATAGTGAACAAACACCAATGTGGCTGTTTTTATGAGATTAGAACTACATATAATATGCTTATTGTTGGACATTGGATATTAGTGATAGAATTCATTTAAGTTGAATGGATAGAGAACAAAACTAGAATTCCCAGCAGTGATTTGAATGAACTGGGTATGCAATTATAAACAAGCAAACCTTGATTGACCTGTTAACACATGTTGAGAGTATATGTTCTAATCACATCTAAACAAGAAAATTCTATTAGATTCACCGCAATTGTTTCAAATGAAAGAACTCCAGAGAAACTCACCAAATGTACATAATAATTGATGAAATAAATTAGTTTTCTACTTCCCAGGCAATATTATAATAAATATGAATCAGAATGTTGTCTTTAAATTTAAAATATTAGTATGAATGGACTTAAAAAGAGCCATGCTTTGAAAAAGAAAAACAGCCATATGGTTCAAATATCTGAAAAAAAATTATCTGTCAAGGGATAATTCTAGAAGAAATTGTCTCAACATAAAGGTCAGTTGTAAAAAAATTTAGGAAGCTGGTTATAAAATTAAAAGCATTGTAAACATGAATTTGATATTTTCTGACACCAGTTACATTAAGTATAAATCCATATATAATCTGAGTTATTATAAAATCTTAGAGTATGACACCAATAAAATCATTCTGTATCAAAAGGGACAAACTCTAGTACTTCCCCCAAATGCCATGTGTCACGGGCAGTTTCATGCACCTGTTGTGGGTGTGATTTCATCATTAAAGGAGAAAACTCATGTACAGAAAAGCCATTCTAGATACAATTTATCTAGAATTTAAAACCTTTTTGCATAATATTTCTGGTATTCATAAGGACAGCTGAGCCAAAACAAGAATACTACACAAAAGGCAAAAAGGGTTATAACTTTTGAAGGAATTAGAGAAGTAGTTCTATAAATATCATATAGAAATTTATCACTTTATGTGTGCAAATATCAGACGTTAATAGATGCTGAACATTTTGGTGATGCCTAATAGTTTCATTTATCTTCATGGGAAACACAAATGTGTGAATTTAGACTAACATTTATAATAACAAAGTCTTTGCTATGTATGTAGAAAAGTAATATCTTTTTGTATGTAGCAAAGTAACATCTTATCTCAGGACTTAATTAAACTAAACATACTATTATATAAATTAAAAATAGGAATGTGTGGGAAAGTAGTAAAATGCTAAGAAAATGTCTAAGAACTGCCAACAATCAATAGTACTATTCCACAATAAATTCTACAATCATTTCTGACATGGCCTGGATAAGAATCTCAACCTCTTAGCTAGAGTACAGTGGTATCATCATAGCTCACACCAACCTCAAACTTCAGGGCTCAAGCAAGTCTCCTGCCTCAGCCTCCCGAGTAGCTGGGACTATAGGCACGTGCCACCATGCCTGGCTAATTTTTTTCTATATATTTTTAGTTGTCCAATTAATTTCTTTCTATTTTTCGTAGAGACGGGATCTTGCTGTTGTTCAGGCTGTCTTGAACTCCTGAGCTCCAACGATTCGCCCACCTCGGCCTTCCAGAGTGCTAGGATTACAGGCATGAGCCACTGTGCCTGGCCCCTTAAATGTTCATTTTAGTTATTAAAAGGCAAAATAAAATCGCTTACTTTGCTATTGGAGACTTTTAAAAACCATTTTCCTAAAATATTATGCTAAGTGTTGCTATCTTTAACAGAATTTTAATGTGGATTAATTTTGTGTTTTTGCTATTATTCCTCTAGGTTCATATTTGGAGACTTTTAATTGAAACCAAGAAAGAAGAGATCCTTGTAGTAATCAGGAGAGTATTTTCAGTCGTGGAAGGATTACTTGAAGTGTTAGCCCCCAAAGAATAAAACTATTGTCATTTTTATTTCTCCCAGTCTCTTGCTCTTTGGGGGATTGTTTCTCTTTTAATTTATTGCTCTGTGTTCTAAAAAGTGGAGCGAGATCACAAACTACGTTTTAAAAATGTATTAAATAATAACTTATGGTAAATTAGTAATACCTCTTGAAAAAGCCAGCTCTGAGCTCTCCCATGGTGCTTCCTTGGGGGGAAGATAACTCAATTGTGTTGATTTAAAGGTTCTGTCTAGTTCTTTTAAACATTCCTATGATGTTGTATTGCTCAGCTTGTAATAGACTGTTATTGCCCTATATTGAGTTTGCAGAGTGAAGGTAAATCTTTCTTGATGCGATTGTGTTGCTGCAAACTCAATATTGTTCACAGCCCCTTTATAACTCTCAGTTCCATTGCAGTAGAACAGCACACATTTTCATTTTTACCTTTTTAGATCTTTATTCTTTGTTCTGAAGCTGAAAGAATGTGTGCTTACGTACCCTCTATATGTGCTTGCTCTGTGAAGTGGTAACTCAGAAGCAAAGAGAATACTGTCAGGTGGGTGTTTGCTTCTTTTTCTGAAATCACCGAATTTATTGTTAATCTTTTCCATTATGTTGCATTAGATGCTGTAATATGTTATTGAAAAAGCGCCACTACTGGGAATACCTCAACTCAGATATCTACCCAAGTTCCAGTTTGGACTGTTTTCAAAGAGTATGTAGCACTATTACAGAGACATTCTTAAAAGAGAGCCCAAGGAGCCCTTGCCTACCTTCTGACTCAGATAAATGTATTTACCCTAGTGGTAGATCCCACAGATAAAAACCAAGTGATCAGAAATATTAACATAGATAATTGGCCTGTTGGATGGAAAGTGGAAATTTTATGTAATGGCTTACATTATTATTTGCTTCTTTTGTTAATTTTCTTGCAGAGGAAAGTCTAATATTTTTCACTGGGGCAGCATTCAAATCATAGTTGGCATGTGTCCTGTTATTATTTTTTTTCTCCTGTCATCTTACAGGATATGATCACAGTTTTGGAGCAATTATTAGTTGATAAGAAATGTGGAGATAACAAAAAAAAAATCTACAAATGTAAGGAGGTATTTTACATGTTAACAGTAAACTGGATGTTAAATAACCACATGCACTGGGTATATTATTCTTCTAAGGTTGTTAATAATTATTGTTCTGGAAAAGTCAACATTTCCTCTACTATAGAAATTTTTTGTTATTTTTTTCCCCCAGCTAGTAAAAATAAACAAAATGAGCAGTCTTCAATCTTCAGGGATTGATAAATGTTAGTTATATTGCTCAATGTCTATTGTATTTGCATGTCTAACTATCTTCTTCCCATTTTCCCCTTCTTGTCATTTCCTCTAGGCCTTTTGCAAAAGAAAATCTTAAGAGCTCTACAACGATGTATGAAGGAATTCAAAGACACATAATTTAGAGCAGGGGTCCTCAAACTTTTTAAACAGGGGCTCAGTTCACTGTCCCTCAGACCATTGGAGGGCCATTGTAGAGTGTGGGCACACATTCCACACATGCGCACTGTGGACCCGGGACGAGTTGGCTGCTAAGCAGGACAGGCAGCGACGGCAAAAACACCCAGCCGGTCGGATAAATATCCTGGGCGGGCCGCATGTGGCCCGTGGGCCATAGTTTGAGGACGCCTGATTTAGAGGAAGAAAATTTCTAAGGTATTGCTTAATACACATAATTTTAAAAGATAAATATATATTACTAAGTGAGAATGAGGCTCACGATTGAAACTGGAATTCCTTAGTTGGGTGTAGTCTTAGAGGACATCTGACCCAGAGTTTGCAAATGGTTGGCTGTTGCGACATATATGGGCTGTAGATGTGTTTTATTTGATCTACACAAGGCTTTAGTTTTTCTTTATTTTTAAATGAGGTGCTAACATTTAAAAATGGAAGTTTTATCTGAGAATATGGAGTTCCATTTTCCTTTGAATGATTAGAAGCTCTGATAGTAGTGGACCAGCTTTGTCACAAGAATGTCTCCTTAGATGCACAAAAGATTGTGCAATCTTTTCTTGGCCACAGACTTGACATGGGCTACTTCATTCCTTTTCATTACTATAGGCATCTGAGTTTGTGGTACCTGTTTCTAGTCTAATTCTAGAAAATTCTTCAACCTCTTCACTTTGTTCACTCTAGCCCCTTGTCTGGGCAGGCCCCTCACCTGATTTCCATCTGTCCAAATCCTACACCTCAAATGGCATTTCCTCCCCACAGCTTTCTGCAGTCACTCATTAACTCATAGCAATCTCTCCTGCTCTAATTCTTCCTCTTCCCCTCATTAATTACACACACTCTGCCTTGCATTACATTGATTGTATTTTCATCTTGCTTCCCAATAGCTGTGAACACCTCGTGGGACAGGGACCATCTTTGCATCCCCCATGGTGACTTCTAGCAGAATGCGTTGTACTGAGTAAGTTCTCAAAACGTGTTTGTGGCATTAACAAACATTTATTGCTCATGGTTCCAGGGGCTGGCAAGTCCAAGATCAGGGTGCTGATAGATTTAATGTCTGGTGAGGGTCCCCTTCCTGGCTTGTAGATGGCCACTTTCTTGCTATGTCCTCACCTGGTGGAAAGAGAGAGCAACTCTCTCATGTCTTTCTAATCCCATTCATGAGAGCTCTACTCTCATGACCTTATTACCTCCAAAAGGCCCTACCTCCACATACCATCATATTGGGGATTAGAACTTCTACATATGAATTTTGGGGAGATACAAACATTCAGTCCATAGACCAAGATGTATACATTGCACAGATCAGTAAACTAAATTTAAAATAATTGGAGAGGGTACAAACATGGGGTTGCCAAGTACTTTTTGTTAAGTAAGAAGATTAAAAAAATTGGCTACCATTTCTTACCACAATTATTTAACTCTTCAAGAGGAAGAATGGCAAAATTCCAGAGGAAAGTAGGGTCATCCTCAGAAAAGAAAAATTGGCAATTTTACAAATACTGCTCTCTCTGTCTGTCTGTCTCTCTCTCTTACGCAAACACAAATACCTCACACACCCAAAGACACCCTTTATATTGTCCTCAATATTATTTTTCTTTCCAATATAGACTGGTTAAATCTTTGCCACACACTGACATTACTTCACAGTTAAACATTTGGAAACTGCAGATTTTCTCAACTTAAACCTTACAAAAAGTGAGAAGTTAAGAAATTCTAGAAAGATGTATGTTTATTTCACTCCTTAAAATTTTTATGGATGGGTATTTAAAAAAATAGAATATTACATTGACTATAGATATGTTTATTTAAATACATGCCAAAGAGCTCTGCTTTAATTCACATTAATTTTACTTTTATAATTTTGTATAGTAAAAGACTAAAACTTTCTTAAGCTTTTACTGCCAGAGGCCAAAGGATTTATATTCCTATGTTCATTGAATAATTGTTTTATTGATAAAAATTGCAGATCTTTATTTTGAGAGGACTAGTGGCAGAACACTTGGTGATCTTCTAAGAAGATCAATGCCCCATCTAGTGGAATATTAGACACGGGAAGTTTCCATGACCATTTTTATAGAGTTCAGATGTCAATAACATAACCCATTGGGTCAACAGTGAGAATAAAGCATGGAGAAACATCAACAACCATCATTCAGTGCTAGTCGTTTATACTTCTCTTCTACAACACACCTGCTACTCCAGATGAAATTCTGCAGCTCAGCAAAATGCCCTAATTTGCATGGACTCTCAGTGACCTGTCTGTAAGCACACAGCAAGCGCACACCTGCCTCAAGGGTTAGCTGCTGTGTTTATATGTCATTGCTTACTACAGGGAAATATAATAAAGCAAGACAGTATGGATAAAAGTTGTAGACATTAAAGAGGAAATAGGAAAAGCAAGTGATCAGATTAAGTGATAGTGAAAGGGTAAGGTAGAAACAAAAGGTCAGATACATTGATTTACACCCAGGAAACTTCATGTGAGCCCTGAACATTTCTTTTAGGGAGTTGGAAAAAAAACAAAAACAAAAAACGCAGCAGGGTAAATGTTTTTCTTTTGCAAGTCTTTCAAAATCATGAACTAAATTTGTCTAAGGAAACTTGAAGTTAAGAGAGCCTGAATGTCTGAATGCGCAGTTGGCCAATGGACTTGGAGACCCAAAGCTTCTCATTGACAGACAGATGCTGGCTGAGTGTGGGCAGTCTAGAAGCTTCCGCAAGGACACTCGTTTCTACCCTGCAGAATGCCTTCAACCCTTGGTTGAGAAATATTAAGGCAATAGCTATACCTTTTCAGTATACTTTTGTACTGGCAATTTTAGAAAAGAATTAATTATTTCCTAAAAACAAAATTGGATACTACTATATGATAGGAATATAAGTAGGAACTACACCATCGAAAGGTAGGAAAACCAGATGGAGAGTCAGGAAACCTGGCTCCTGCTCATAATTTTGCTAAAAACCGGCAATGTCTTGCTGTGGGAATACTACAACTATCTCTAAGTTTTCATCCTCATTTATAAAATAAAGGTTTTAGGCTTGATCTTTAGTCCTTTTCAGTTCTAAAATGTTATAATAATGAGCTATGTTCTTTCCCCTGACGAAGCATTTCACATTGATGTTAATTTCATTGCAATATGTTCCTTTCTGATAAGAGATGACTTTCAGACTACAATAAATACATAGCCCTGCCCAGTGTTAAAACCTTCCAAGGAGTAGAATAAAAGTGATTTTGAAGAAAATACATCATACGACTTCATACAGATGTAACAAAATAAAGACACTACTTCATACAGATAGACCAAAATAAAAATAAGAATCAGTGTGGTTAACTAGAATAAAACAGATCGCTCCTGTCATTGTTACAGATAAAGTCATCTATAAAGAAACTCTTCTCACATATCTTTTATGTTTTTGTCTTTTCATTCCCTTTCTAAAACATTTTTCCTAATGATGAATTGTATCAAACCTGTGATCCATTACAGTTGAGACATCATTTTTTTTTTTTTAGAGACAGAGTCTCACTTTGTTGCCCAGGCTAGAGTGAGTGCTGTGGCATCAGCCTAGCTCACAGCAACCTCAATCTCCTGGGCACAAGTGATCCTCCTGCCTCAGCCTCCTGAGTAGCTGGGACTACAGACATGTGCCACCATGCCTGGCTAATTTTTTGTATGTATATTTTTAGTTGTTCAATTAATTTCTTTCTATTTTTAGTAGAGACAGGGTCTTGCTCAGGCTGGTTTTGAACTCCTGACCTTGAGCAATCGCCTACCTCGGCCTCCCAGAGTGCTAGGATTACAGGTGTGAGCCACCGCGCCCGGCCCAGTTGAGAGATCATTACGAGGCTACAACCAGGAATAAAATCTTAGATATGGGAAATCGATTCCTCGTGTACTGAAGCCTGTGATTTGGGCTTTCTTCTCTTCCTTCTCTCCTCTGGATAGAAAGTGATTTCTCTTTTACCATCTTGGCGGGTTGTTCTGTATATGGAACCCACATCGTCAATCAGTTTTCTTCTTGTCTTCGCTTTGATCTGCGCCCTGGGCATGTGAAAGGGGCAGTGTCGATTCTTGAAGACATTGTCCCTGGCTGGGCACGGTGGCTCACTCCTGTAATCCTAGCACTCTGGGAGGCCGAGGAGGGTGGATCCCTCAAGGTCAGGAGTTCGAGACCAGCCTGAGCAAGAGCGAGACCCGTCCCTACTAAAAATAGAAGGAAATTAATAGGCCAACTAAAAATATATAGAAAAAATTAGCCAGGCATGGTGGCGCATGCGGGTAGTCCCAGCTACTCAGGAGGCTGAGGCAGGAGGATCGCTTGAGCCCAGGAGTTTGAGGTTGTTGTGAGCTAGGCTGACGCCACGGCACTCTGAGTGAGACTCAGGGTGACAACAAGAGCCTGGGTAACAAGAGTGAGACTCTGTCTCAAAAAAAAAAAAAAAAAAAAAGGCACTGTCCCTAAGTTTATTTATCTTTAATCTTGCCCAGGCCTCTGAAAATAGTACCTTCGTTCCATTCTTTTCTGGATCCCAGAGAAGAATATCTCATTGGGGAGACTTTGACTAGTCTACCGTCTTTCAACAGTTTCTAAAATCTTTCTCTTAGAGATTTAGCAAAAGCATGCCACTTGCCTCCTATAAAGTTTACTTTGATTTTAAAATGAGGCTGAATTTTTAATAGTTCCCATGAATTTTAAAAAATAAAATATTACCTAAAAGGAAATAGATTTCTGTTTAGTGGTAGAGCTTTTATTTGCTTTTTTTTTTTTTTTTATCATTCACTTGGACAACATGTTCACAGCCAAGGCTAAAGAGTTGATCATGGAAAAGTCTCCATTATGCCTTTTCCTTCTGTTACACCTTCCTTCCCACCCTACTGAACAATAAATCAGTCCTTTCTCCTGTCTCCTCCCCTCAAAGGAAAAAGAAACCTGTCCAAATCCTTTTGGCTACATTAATTCTTATCAGAGCCACTTTATACCCAAGAGAGTAACAATTTCTATTTTGTGATTTTTTTTTTTTCAGACTCCTTAACATTTGTGTGGCAATTGCCGGTATAAGATTGACTTTGCAGTGTGACTACACGACACATCATAAAGCATCCACAAAAGACGAAAGATACTAGAATAAGCCAACTGATAACTGAGCTTTGATATATTGAGCTGCTATCATCTCTCTTTTTACTTAACGAATTCTTTGAAAGGAAGTTGGAAATAAAAGGCAAGGAGCAAAATGCCCAGTTGCCCAAGAGAGATTTCTTTAGACTAAAGATCACCTAACACATTTGTTTCTCCTTCCTTTTTTCTTGTTAACTATGTCTGATCCTGCTGTGCAGGTACTGGGTGATTCATTTTACCTCTACTGCTTCTCCTTTTTTTCCCCCACCATTAACTCTTCCTGGATTCCTAATATTTAAAAAAAAAAAAAAAGATTTTATCAAAGAACTGCATCCTTCGGTTGACTTTTAGAATCTCCAATCATAGAACAAAACTCAAAGCAAAACCAAATGGTAATTAAATTTTTAGAATTATTTTTTAAAGTTAGAGCATTGTGGCAATTGGTATAGATGACTGTCATAGGAAAACAGTTTTACTTTTGATGGAAAGTTCTGGAAAACTGGCTGCAAGGATAACAGCACACCTCCAAAAATCAATGAAACCAATGCCCCTGGTCCGCTATCTGAGTTTTTCCTCCTCCTGCTAGCCTACCCTTTTTTTTTTCTCTCTCTCTCTCTCTCTCCTTTTTTAAAGGGTTAAACTGGGTGGTTTCAGAGTTTTACAAGAGAACTATTAGTGAAAAACAATCTGATACATTCAACTTACTAAGGCCCTACTCTTTCCCTCTAATCTTTCAGCAGGGCCCAAGGGAGGCTAAAGTTTAGATCAGTCTATTCTCCACGAGAACTTTGATTCACTATTAAATTCCGTCTAATGAAGATGACTGCCATCCCACAACCATCAGCGAGCTACGTGTGGGACAATGCAAAACCCACCTTGTATAGAGGGACATTGTTCTTTCTTCTTAGTTACCCTGGTTGAATAGAATCTCATGGAAATTCACATGCACAAGAGACCTGTGAAATCAGTAACAGTATTAATCTCTAGGGTGCCATGGGGAGTCGAGTTAAGGAAATAACTATTTTGCTTAGGTACACACTTGCTCATGTCCTACAGCGTGTCATGTTTATGATAAGAGCAAACAGCGGAGACACACACAGAGAGTTTTTTCCTTGGTAAAAGCAAAGTTCTAACATAAAATGTAACTTGTTGAGGAGTACGAGCTTATTAGATTGAATCTACTTTCTGACCTTGCAGATAAGAAATTGAAAAGGAGAATGCATAAGTCTGAGATTTCTGGAGCTCACTTTAATGTGTAAAGAATTTCTGATACGTCAAACATACAAACTAAAAAATTTATAAGCTATGAAGTAAAATTTGTTTCTGAAATTAAGTTATTATATCGAATAAAATCCTATACGGTGTTATTTAGTTCTATTTATTTATTTAAATCAGACGACATGCTAAAAAAAATAGGAAAAATTAGACAAATGCAGCCTCATAAATAACAATTTTTCTGTGGTCAGTAATCATCCAATATAGTACCAGAGACAAAGATTTGTGTTTTTAAGGCTGGGCGTGGTGGCACATGCCTGTAGTCCCAGCTACTTGGGAGGCTGAGGCAGGAGGATTGCTTGAGCCCAGGAGTTTGAGGTTGCTGTGAGCTAGGCTGATGCCATGGCACTCACTCTAGCCCAGGCAACAAAGTGAGACTCTGCCTAAAAAAAAAAAAAAAAAGATTTGTGTTTTTGGGAGTCAGGATAGCATGATGATTGTATTCAGGGGCTCTTTTATTCTACCACATGCTATCTGTGTAGCTTTGACAAATCACTTACCTTCCCTGGGCCTCAGTTTACTCATTTGTAAAATGAGAGCTACTCATCTGTAAAGCAACTGCTTAAGTTGTGTTGGTGTGAAGATTTACTGCAATAACACAGATAAAGCACCTAGAAGAGTAACTGAAACATTAAATAACGAATGTGTTACTATTATTAATGTTCTATTAATTGGACACCATGCATGCTGATGGTTAGCAAAATATTTGGCTGCCTCATGCAGAAAAACAGTTTAACATGTTAGAGATAAAGTAATGGTTTTAAAATATAACATAACTCATATTCGTTATTTAACATGCAGCATACTGTAAATTCTTAATATCATTTTTCCCCTATTCAATTGGTTGGAAAAATGTGTAATTCCACTTTGGTTGTGATGAATTAGTTCCTATCAGACCAACAAATTATTAATAATTTTATTGTGCATTTAATACTCTACAAGGATTTTCTTTATTCAAATATTTGACCTCTCTTTTGAACAAAGTCAGTTTTTTTCTTTCTCAGATTGTTGAGTTCTGGCTGGGCCTGGGCCTGGATACTTGTAGAATAGTCAGGAAAAAAAAAGATGCAACATTGATGGACTGTATTTGAAAACTAGAAGACTGAATGATAAGATAAAAGATATAGCTGAACAAAGGTTCAGTTAAAGATACAAGGATCTAATTAATTTTCTATTAGGGAAAAAGGAAGAGTTGAGATGGAATCAGGTTTTGAGCTCTCTGGCTTAGCATTACAGTGTTCAGAGCAATAGCTATATGGTCTTCTTTATTCAGTTGGGTTTATAGATACCTGGAATTTTCTTAGGTCAAGAAACATGTTAATAAAAGGTTACCCCAAATTTTTCCTATTTAAAGACAAAGCATCTTGGGCTGTCATTGAAAGTGAGAATGAGAGGAAGAAAAATAAAGAAAATAGGCTCTATAATTTAGGGAGAGCAAATTAAAGTGTTTAAATGAGGGTGAAATAAATAGCAAATGAATAGGAAAGCTTTCAGAAGTTATATGTTTTCCTTAAATTTGTTTTATCAAATACAGGAAAGAAATCTGAAAGTAAGGGCATGTATATCTTTCTCTCTGTTTTTCCTTATCACTTTTGTCATATTCTGTTGGCTAGAAATAAGCCACAGGTCCCACTCACACTCTAGGAGAGGTGATTTATGGGGTGCTAAGATGGGGGATTTTTAGGATTTGTATGCTACAGCTGGATTTCTGGCCCCCAATGATTCATATTCCTCCCACATTTAAAATACATTCATCCCCTTTCAAGATTCCCAAGAATCTCATCCAATTATAGCATCAGCTCAAACTCCAAAGCGTCAACATCTATATTGCCATCCAGGTATAGATGAGGTTCCTGAGTGTAATCTATTAAGTACAGTTTCTGGGGTATAATTCCTCTCTATCTGTGAGCCTGTGAAACTACCTGCTTCCAACACACCAAACACCCAATGGTGGTGTAAACATAGGATAACAGTGAAAGACATTTTAGTTCAAAAAGAGGGGAAACAGAAGATAAGAAGGAATCACTGGTCCAAAGCAGTTATGAAATACAGGTGGCCAAACTCCAGCCAGGGGTCCTTTATTAGGTTTCAAGACCTGTGGATAATTCTTCATTGTTCTTGGCTCCACTGGTCCCTTGGTTCTACACTTTGAGTCCTACTTTTTTTCAGGTAAGGTAGCACACGTATGCTGTGAGTAGTTTTATCTTTCTGCTTTGTGGGAGTAGAATTTTGGAAGTCCAACAGCCTCCTTTTATTGTCTATTTCCTGTCTCTTCCAGTTCAAGCTGGAAGAATCCCTGCTGAAATAATGTTTTCGAGAACTTTGTAGTTCTTTTCTATGTCTCAGAGGAGTTCTCTCCATTAAACAAAAGTGACACCTACAGATCTTTTTGAGAGAATCTTTTCTCTACCTTCTCACCTCCTGCTGTTAGAGCTGAGGGACAATATCCTGTCTTTAAGCTTCCTTGAGCCCTGTGGTCATATTGAGAGACTCTGTATAGGACACCTTTAATTTCTTGGAATAGCCTTTTCTGTGCCTGAATACTTTGATTTTTTTGATCTGAGGTTTTAGTAAAAGGTTGTGCAGCCACAACCTGAACCTTGTTTTTCAAGAGTATGCTTTCTTGTCCATGAATTTTTAATTTTAGCATCTTTTGCCATGTGAAGATTTTTGTCATGCGAAGAGAGCAAGAATTTCCCAAATCCTTCAATCCTGGTTACTTTCTGTTTTACACTTCATTTCTCAGTATATCTCTTTCCTCTCACCTTTGACTATAAGCAATAAGAAGAAACCAGGTAGGACTTTCAACACTTTGTTTGGAAATCTCCCTAGCAAAAGAACCAAATTTATAATTTACAAGCTCTGTTTTCCATATAACTGCAGAGACAATGTCTCTAAACATCCAACCAAAGAAAGAGTGGTCCTCCTTTCTTTGGTTTCTCATAACATGTTTTGCACTTTCTCTGAGCCCTCAGAGGTGATAGTATCCTTAGAAGTCCATAGTTCCATTAACAGTCTATTCAAGGTGATTTAGGCTTTTAAAAAATTTTTTATCATGCTCCTCAAAATTACTATAGCCTCTACCCACTGCCCAGTTCCCAAGCTGTTCTAGGTACTTGTAAATAGCAGCATCCCATGTTCTGATATCAGTTTTCTATGCTGCATGACAAATTGTCACAAATTTGCAGCCTAAAACAACACGTGGCTGTCATATCACAAGAGTCCAGGGGTGAGGAGTCCGGGTATAGCGTACTTGGATTTTCTGCTCCAGGCTGAAATCCAGGGGTTAGTCAGAGCTGCAATCCCATCGGAAGCTTGACTAAGGAAAGATCTACTTCCAAGCTCTCTGATGTTGTTGACTGGGTCCTTGTCCTTGTGCTTGTAGGACTGACGCCCTTGTTTTCTTGTTGTTGTTTGCCTGGGGGGCTGCTCTCAGTTTCTAAATTTCATAAAACAGAATGAATTGCTTTCTTTTTGCCACTAATTCATATTTTGAAAAACCACAATGGATATGCATCCATTAGCTACCAGAAAATGAATATGTAACTTCAGCAGCAAGAGTTTATTTATTGACAAAAATGGCAATAATAGCTAAAACTACCTTAAGTGAATTATCTTAGTTGTACAATAGCTTATTCAATAGAAATAATTTGTTATGAATTGAGAGGTGTTTTTGGATATTATGGCCAATTATATGACTTCTCCTAGCCCATTACAATGAAGGACTCTACTTGCTCAACTATGCACGTAATGTAGTTGATGCACTGATTTAATTTCTATCACTGTTGAAAAATTAAGCTCTATCTACAAAGAGCCCATATT